TTTCCTAGTGCAGAGGAGCAAAGGCGCCAGGAAAGACTAAAAGCCTCCCCTTATCCCCACCAAACAAGAGACAACTCCTTATCCAAACGAGGAAGTTGCCCTCAACTTGAATTTGGATCATCTCCAGCCTGAGTGAATGTTCTCAGGACACTTATCATAGAAAGGCGGATTATATTGTTCTTTCTGCCAGCAGTTTCCATCTTGGACCCGAGAAAGCCTCTTCAACAAAACCAGACAGCTAGTTACAGAAAAGCAAACAAGAAACCACCCACCAAGCAGTGGGTGGGTGGATGGGTGTGTGGGTGTGTGAGTGGGTGTGGGTGGGTGGGTGCATGCGTGCGAGTGTACTTGGACTTTAGACACATGGACACGTTATTAGCGAATGCCAGGCAATGCAGTTTAGCCTAGGCATCTGTCCTGGCCTTAGCCTGCAGCTCAGCTGATGTGAAGTAGTGTGTACGTGTGACTAAGGCACCAGCGACACAGAGCTCTTTTTTTTGAACATGTGCAAAAGTTCACACATTGTGAATGTCTTCACATGCCAGGTTGTCTGCTTGTGTATTGTTTGACCACTGCTTAGATTTCATGTGTTACTTCTTTCCCACAGATTAAAAGAAATTAAGACTGCTGTCGCGCCAGTTGTCTGCACCGACAGCCAGTGGGGAGGGATGGAGGAAGGTGTGATTTTAGCCGTCCGTTTCTTTCTCGGTGCCAGTGCCTGCCTGAACCGCAGGGTGATTACCCAAACACCTGATGCTTATGCATGGGGGCACCGTACGGTGTCTGTAATGGCCCTAAGTTATGAACACGCATGGCACGGGGGCTGCTCCAATTGTAACACTTTACTTCTGGCAGCCTTCAACTCCCACCAGATTAGCAGCGCCTGTAATGCTTGTGACTGCCAAATTAGGCCATCTGTAAACACTAAAACTTGCAAGCTCTCACCAAATTCATGGCAGTCATGCTCGGGAAGTAAGTTCTGCGTCTTTGGGAGACGCTCAGATGGCCGGCGCGCGCCTCGTACCCTCTCGGGCGTCC